TTTAATAATATAGGAGAAACAGTTAAAAGTACTAACTTACAAAAATTGGAAAGTAGAGATAAAGCACTAGAAAAAGAAAAGCCAATAGATACTAGACAAGATTTAGATAATATAATAAATAAACTAGAAAAATTATATTTAGATAAGACTAAAGAGCATAGTAAATTTAAGAAAACTAAGTGGATGTATACGTGATGGATAAAGGAGAACAAATGTAGCTAGTAGTAGTAAATTAGTTGGTAATCTTTTACTAAGAACATTAAGTAGAAAAAGGGAATCCGAAACAAGACTAGAATCTCAAATAGATATAGAAGAACTTATGGAAATGTTTAGATAGTAAAAGCTTTAGACATATATAAAAAAGGAAATTTATTTAGTAAATCTTTAATATATCAACATTATGGAGAAATATATGTTTCTTGTACACATGAGGATTAATATGTATCCCCAAATTTAATAGAAAAAGAATCTTATAAAGAAATTGTTAATAAAAATCTTTAACAAATTCATTTAGGATTAATAATAATAGGAGTAAAAGGATTTCATAGAGAAAATTTAGGAACTCAAGTATTAGTATGTTTATATGATAGCAGATTCACAGATATAAAACAAGGATTATTAGGTAGCATAGAATTAGATATGAATAACAAAAGAGGAATGGTATATATTACGCCAGATTATTTAATAAGAACAAATTTTTTTTATAAAGACATTATAAATATGGAATATTATAGAATTCTCAAAAAAGCTAGAGAAATAGAAACTGGAATGTTAATAGAGACATAGAAACCAAGATGGATGAAACTAACAAAAGAGCTAAAATGAAAACAAATCAAAAATTTGGAAAAAGAGAAGAACCTATGAATACAAAATATAATATAGGAGGCAAATATTATTTTTCCCAAGAAAGAGACTTTGAATGAGCTGATAAAAATTATAAAAGTTTAAGAAAAAGACAAATAGAAGAAGAATGTAGTATACCATTAGCTAGTGATAGAGGATTAATCTTAAAATTAAACAATTGTAAACCTCAAGATAGACCTAATACTATAACTAAATGTGAAAATTCCATAAGTAGGGCATATAATGGTGTACCTACACAAATGACTGTAAAAGAAATATGGGCTTACTTAGAAACTTATTCAGGAAGGACAGCATTAGAAATATATGTTACAGTAAAAAGACTAAACCCAGATGAAATTAGATTAAAAATGGCTAGAGGAGATAATCCTAGAAATTTTAAAAGTTTTATTAGAGAATTAATTATAAGTTTTGATCCCAATAAAGATAATACCTATGAACAAAATAAAGCCTTTGAAAACTTAGAAAAATTTATTAATATGAAATATATACGATTATTTTTGTTAGAGTTTGAAAGATTAGCAAATGCAGCAGGATTAACATTAGATTATCCTATACTTGAAAGATTATATAGAAAGATACCACCACCATGGAATGATAAGATTAGAAAGATGTAGAGGCAAAAACAATAAAAGATACAATTATTTGTGCCACCATTAAATTTATAATTGATGAATTAAAAAAATATTGTGTAGAAGAAGTAATTTATTAATATGAAATTATATATATATATATATATATATAAAGTAGATCGTACTATAAAAATAAAAGACCTAACTATAATAGATATGTTAGAAAGTCAAAAACTAAAGAAGACTATAAATATTATATTTGTGGGAATCCTAGACATTTTGCTAACAAATGCCCGAATAAGTATGAAAATAAAGAAAATACAGCTAAATCCATGATAATAGAAGAAATACAGTGAAACGTTGTAAAATTATTTGATAATGAATCTTATTGCTCACTATATAGAATTTATATAGATAAAGAGTTAGATAATTTAGAAATAACAAGTAGTCCTGAAGGTAGTTATGATAATTTAGAAAAACTAGAATTTTCAATTTTAAATACAAAGATGATGATTATAGAACAAGAATGTATTCATGAATAAATTAGGGGACAATGATCAATGATGGATAAATGTAAAATTTGCAAAATATACTCAGGATATAAAAATAGAAATCAATGTAAAAATTGCTTAGAATTCAATGTAATAATTGTTTAAGAATCAAAGAAGAATATAAATAATAATAAAAATGAAGACTATAGTTAAAATATAGAAAGATTGGAAAATAAAATAATAGATACAAACAATAGAATAGATAAAATATATGGAACATTAGGAGAAATACAGTATCGGATCAGAAATTTAGAAACTAAACGAAAACAACCTATAGAGAGTCACATATTATCCGCTCTAGATAGAAATGGAGGTGACTCATCTTTACAGATCAAGAAACAAATTACTGAGCTTTTTATCTCTCAGTGTTAAAATTTCTTGATAAAAGATCCTGAAAACTGTAAGAAAAGGCAAAAAAACATAAAAATTATAAGAGAAAATAAAATAAAAAATAGTAAGATTCCATTTCTATGAGAGAATTTTTCTTTTATGATTTTCTTATCTTAGTAGACTTTTTGAAACTAGTTAAAAACTTTCTATTTTGGTCACGAAATTTAAATACTTTCTAATTGGTATCTTTTTTTCACTCTCACTTAATTAATTGGCAAGAAGATTTGCCGTTGTCTCTTAACAGTAGGTAAGACTTTTTCATTTTACTAAAAGATTTTTTCAAACTTTCACATAAACTTTTCCATCACTTTCTTTGTAGAACTTTACTACAAATAAAATACAACTTCGACTTTAATAAAATAATACTTGGACTTTTTCTTACTTCTTACTACAAAAACTTGCCACCGTAATTTTAAAATGTCAACAGTTATTCAAAATCTATATGAAAAAATAGATTTTCTTTAATTCTCTTGCTCTAACTTAGATTTCTTCCTATGAAATTTATGAGATTTGTTTTTTTTAATTATGTGCAGGTTATATATTTCTTTGTATGAACTCCATTTGTAGAAGACAAAGAACCTCCAATAGTGGTACTAACTATTCCTGTAATTTTTTATATATTTTTTTCAAACATTAAAATTGAGGAATTGAATGGATATGTTTACAATTTCATGTACATTGTTTGTTAGTTTGTACATTAAAAGTTTAATTTCACCATTTTTTTTTTATTTTAACCTTTAATATAATAAGCTCACAAGAAAAGTTCAACTTTTTGTCACTAAATTATCGACGGTCAAAGAATTCCATTGATAAATTACCGATGAATGTTTCATTATCAGATTTACTAAAGGACGTGTTCCGTCGCTACAAGCTATTAACTACGGCATTTAAGCCATTGACGATGAAAATTCCTTCTTTAAATTCGCAGCTTTTCTAGTGCATGTAGAATCAAAGGTTAAATAAATACTACATTTTTAGTTTATGAAGAATAATTTTTATTCTTCTTTTATTCACCCAACGATGTAACTCTATTGGGCTTTCAGTCAAGTCTTCAAAAGTTCAACAAGAAACTAAAAGAAATTTGTTCATAGAAGATGATGGTGAACTCGTCATTCTGTAAAAATTCCGTGATATAAGAATGTAACAAAAAATATAGAAGTAACGATTAGAAAGTGAAAACTCTTTTTTAATGTATGGGAGGAAAATATTCCAATTCAAATCTCAAGTAGCCGTCCAATAGCAAAAATGCAGCAGTTGTCATTGTTGCAGTTTTGCATGACCAGGTTAACCAAGTTTGCGGCCAACTAGTACGAGTCGAGAATTTCTCCACACGGCTCATATGTACGACGATCGGCTCGCCTCACTTTAACACCCCTAAGCGAGAATTTCTTGACTGAACATCGTATAAGGTCACTAGAAGAAAACTTTAATTAATATTTTTAAGTCCATCTTACAGAATTTATCAAATCAGAAGGTTAGCTGCAAAATTAATGGAAAACAAAATTATTCTTCCTAATGCATTCCCTCGGCGTTCGAAATTGCTAGTCATTGGAAATTGTCTCCCTAAAGTCTTTTCCTTCCACACTTTGTTTATCAACACTTTCGTAGAAGTCGATGTATACGAGATAATGGAGTGAAACGATATTTCAGCTGGTTGATAACAACTTCAGTACCACTTACAGTTTTATAATCCATGAAAATTAGAAAAAATTGAGCAATCAACATTAAGTGCATAGTGTATTGGTTAGGGTGGTCTGATTGTAAGAATGGAATTTGAATGAAAAGAAAACGAATTTTAGATAATTAAATTGCCCTAAACTTGTTTTATTAAGAATTATCAATTAAATTCCTTTGATTGGTATCATTTTTCACCTGAAAAATATTGAAATTTTGGATTTTTTGGTATTCGTTTAGTTTTATTTTTTTATGAAAATTGTCAAGTAAAGGAATAAAAAAAATTCTATTGCCAAAATAAATAAATAATTAAAAAATTTTAAAAAAAAGGAAAAAAAAAAAAACTGGAAAACTAATTTCCCACTAAACCCATAAAAATTGGAATTCCACAAAACCTTGAAAAAAGGGGTCACATGAGGGGATGGAAAATCAATATCCAAGAATTTTTTTTTTTTTTCTTTCTTTGCAATCAAACAAGGGAAAAGGTGAAAAAAAATTCTTGGGAAATTTCTCAAATCAAATAGGCCTTAAGTGCGTAGTGTATTGGTTAGGAGACATGCGTTGCAGATTTTTCCGAGGACGAAAGTTGGTGCGGTTTTTAAATTATTTTTATTTTTTTACTTTGAGTTAAGACTTATTATCACTAGCTAAATTTATTTGTGGAAGTCATTTTCTAGACCAAGAAAATTGTGCAAACCGCCTTCTTGGACAATTATAAAATGAGTGGAAGACTTTAGAGCCTTTCTGAATTTGTTTAATAAAGTAGAATCTACAATTAGTGGTTGACTTCTATATCATTTTTCGTAGTCTTTTATATAATACAAACTAGATATCAGTAGTGCTTTTTAAATTGGGGCAATACAACTTGAGTGTAATAATTACTTATTTGTTGGGATGACCATAACATTTAGGTTCAATTTATTGGCTTCTATAAATACGACAAAAGCATTTCAAGAGTTCACAACATAGACTCCCTCTTTGGGCACTAGATTTTCAAACATACAGACAATGGGTTTTCAAATTCGAGTTCTTATGATGTTGAGCATGTCGATTTGCCTGGCCTCAGTTGTACATGCTAAGCAGGGAACTTCTGTTTTCTACAATCCACCTTACCTTCGTGAGTATATTTTGTTAGTTTACTCTTTAATGTAAAACGAGCAGCGTTGAAGGTTATAGTTAAAAATAAATAAATAAATAAATGTCTTCTCTTTAAGAATTCGAACCTTTACATGAAGCTGCTCAACAAATACACAATTCAAACTTTAGCTGTTTTGAAAACTCGTTTAGCTACATCTACAAATACCAACAAATGTAACAAGTTTGTTAAACTATGTGCAGCATCAGCATGCTTTAGCTATCGAAACCAAGGCATCATGATAGCAGGAGCTAATCCTACATTATACGATGGTGGAAAAGTATGTGGAAGAAGGTATAAGGTGCGGTGCTTGGGAGGCACCAACGAAACGCCAAATCCATGCAAAGGGGGAGAAGTCATTGTCAGAATTGTAGATCTTTGTACAGGATGCGGAGCCAACGAGATTAATCTCTCTCGAGATGCCTTCTCAAGGATTGCTAACGTTGATGCTGGAAGAGTCCGAGTTGACTATATACAGTAGGATGCAATTTCTATTCCATTAATAATATTTTATTCTTTATCTACTTGTGTTTAATAATCGATTCTCATTATTAGAGCTCATGCTATTATTTTCTTGTTTTCCATGTGATTTTCAGGGTTTGAGAAGTCTGCAAAATCAAAACACCTCGAGGCTATTCTAAATAAGGAGCTGCTACTTGTACAGGGCCTAACATAGGCCCTGTTCAAATAGATTAATTCTTCTAAATATGTATTTTTATACAAGTACAATAAGAGACCTCGAAAAAAAAAAACGATTATAATGTTCTGTCAACTTCAAATAAAATTCAGGACGTTGTGTAAGTTTGACAAGTGTAGCTCTAGATATCTTAATGAAATTTCAAAGTTCATGTAATTTAATGATCTGCTATCGTTTTCTCTTCAAAATGCCAAAATAAAAAGAAGAAAAAAATAATATATAGTAATAAATCCTAAATACCGATGCTTAGCTTATATATATATATATATTAATCTCTCTTCGCTAGATATTAAAAGCATGTAATAATTGGTTTGAATCATTTACGTATGTTGACTAAAACACGTTTATGTAAAAACTTAAACTTGTCGATTCACTCACGAAATTCAAGAATGAGTGAATATTCAAAGAAACTTCTTAAGACTTTTCATAATAATCAAATTCAACTAATTGTATTAAGGCGCTTATAATTCATTTAAAAATAATAATAATTAGAATTTGGATATCGACTAAATGTTATAAAATAATTAACTAAAAATAATGATGAAATCTAAAATCCTTACACTATAAAAAAATCTCAGCTTTAGAGACGAAATTTTTTGTCGTTGATGGCTTACTTTATAAATAATATAGCTTTTAGTGATGAAATCCTTCCATCAATGAAACCCTAGCCCCTAATTTACTAATGGATTTCTGTAGTAATAGGTAAATTAGCAACAAATAAATTGGTTGATGTTAATTGACGACTATTTATGTAGCTAATTAGTAACGAACTTAGCAACAAATTTTTTATTTTTTTTGGTCACAAATTATTTGCAGATTAAATGTGTCGATGATTAGGAACGAACTTATGTTGTTATTTCCGTCAGTAATTTCAATTAAAATTTATAAAAATTTTGACATCTTATTTTAATTATATTTTTCTTCGGAACTTAATATATTACAGTTTAAACTCAAAGGAAAAAAAATGATAAAGTTAAAATATTAGAGTACAAACTAACAAATAATGTACATGAAATAGCAAACATATCCATTCAATTCCTTAATTGTAAAGTCCAAAACATTATAAACAAAAGAGTGTTATTAGCTTCTCTGAGATTGCAATCTTATTCTAAGTAGTGTTAAATGATAGAATAAGCAAAAAGTGAAATGAAATGAATCATTTAATTTCATTTATAATTTAATGTCACATTAGTGTAATATAGATTGAGATTACAATCTCAATAGGGCTAAATATCATCACTCTAAATAAAAATAAAAAAATAGTTAGTCCAACTATTGGAGGTTCTTTGTCTCTACAAATGGAGATGGAAGGAAGAAATATATGACATGCACATACATTAAAGGGGAAAAATTAAAAATAAAAAGGCCTTACCAATAAATTTCACAAAAACTAAGGGGGTGTATTCAATTAAGTATTTTAATGACTTTTTAGGATTTAAAAAGTTTAATGGCATTCAATTGAGACTTTTAAAAAATCTCTAAAAGTTATGGTGTATTCAATTGAGACTTTTAAAAAGTTTTTAAAAGTTACGGTGTATTCAATTAAAACTTTTTAGAAGTCTCTATAAGTTTTTGAGTATTCAAATTTTAATAACTTCTAGATATTTTTATAAAAGTCTCTGAAGTAATAAATTTTAAACAGAAAGTACTCATATAAAATCTTTAAATTTATCTCTCATTAATCATGGGATTTTGGAAGATTTTCACAATTCTTTTTTCAATATTTTTTCATCTTTCCTTCCATAGACATGTATGATTAATTTTTTTATTCTATTGATTATATTTATTTTCATCTCTCTCTCTCTCCATCTCTCATTGTTTATCTCTATTTTCTGTGAAAAATTAAATTGAATTCTTGCAATTTTTTTTCTTTTTCATTCATTTTTTTGTGAAAAATATTTATTTTTTATTAAATTATAAAACTTTATACGAAAAAATTATAATTAAATTTAAATATATTGATTTTTATTTATTTTTAAAAGTATATTATATTAATAATATCGAATATTATATTTATTGTTTTCTCATATATACGTATAATTTTGATTATTATTTATTTAAAATCTTCAATAGTCTTTCGAATATTGTAAAAATCCATAAAGAAATTAAAATGAAAGTCCCTAGAAATCTATGAAAGACTTCCACTAATTCTATACAAATCTATAAAAGATCTAAGAAATCACAGAAGTCATCACTTAAAAAAAAAGTCCACCAAAGTTTTCAAAAATCTCAATTGAATACACCCCCTTAAGGGTGCGTTTGATTATGAGCATGGAAAGAACAAAAATTCTAGGCAATTGAATATTTGTATGGAAATTATTAATTAACTATTAATTTAATTTTCAATTTAGAAAATATTATATTTGTCCATTTTTTATTGGTGGGTATATGAGAGAGAATGCATAGATAAGAGAGAGTGAATTCCCTGGAAAATAAAATCTGACCCATAAAAGAAAATATTTTCTCTGATTTTAAGAAAAATGCTGTCACGTAACCAAAAGTATGAAAATATTTTCTATGGAAAAAATTGTCAATCAAACAGTATAAAAGTAGAAATTTAAATAAAAAAAACTCATTTTTATGAAAATATTGACAATCAAACGCACCTTAAGTTAAATCAAATAGAATTAAAGAAAATCACTTTGACAATAGAGTGAAATGTTTAAAAAATTATTCAACTTATATTATGGTCATGGACTGGTCACTGAACTTCAAACTACTTCCTAACTTTTCCTATTTGCCCATTCATCACTCAAAAAATCTGTGACTTTAGTGTTGATATGACGGATGGAATTCTGATGTGGCATTTAACGCTTTAAACACATGCCAAATCACCTTTGGAGTCCTAATCAGCATATTTTTTAAAAAAAAATGAAAAATGAAAAATAACTATAGATTAAAAATAAATAGACACCTCTGATATCTTCTTCAGAATCCGTCGCCTCTCTACCCCCTCTCTCATGCTGCCGCCATAACTCCAACACCCATCTCCTACAAAATAGAATTATTTTGCATATACAAATTTTTTTACCAAATTTTATTCATGGGATAGCTATCTCCCTATGATTTGCTATTATCAAAAACTGTTTATGACAGCAACCAATTCATGTAAGACAAATGTTTTTCTATATAAAATTTGTTAAAAAAATTTTGTACTTGTAACATTTCTCTACAAAATAACTTTACTCTGAAAAAATTCACATTATCACCATTACCCGTCCCTTGAAAGGACCCCAATTTAAAGACTCTACGCCGCTCTCATTAAACCCAGTAAGTATGATGTATCCCTTTGTCGTCGCTATAACCTCTTTATTTTGCACCAAACGAACAACTAATAACAACAAAGGCGGCGAGATTTGGGCTTCAATGAACAACAAATAACAACACACATGATTCTCTCTCTCTATATCTCCTACACATTCTGCCACCGCATTCTGCCACGGTCCACCATCCATATTCACCTTCAACTTTCCTACAATCACTGCTGCCACAACAAGACTCAATGTCTTTAAAAAAACACCCGTCTCCCATTTAGATTTTTATGATTTTAACAACCCATTTACATACTCTTCAATGAAGAGCGCTTTGGGTCCGCTGTATAGCATCTTGCTACAGATAATGCAGGATATAACCCGGGAAAAGAAAATGTTCAGCAGAATCAACACTACCCTTTTGAAATATGTTTCGACTGATATTGGTGAATCATAGTTGAAGCAAGAGATTGAGAAGTTAATAGAGGGGAATTTTCGAAGGCGTGATCGCTAGACATCCCTTTCGTCATCTAAGACGTATAATATTGATGAGATAATGAAGCCAGCTAAAGGCAATTCAGCGTAGCTTCCGTCACCGGAGTTTTATCGCTGGAGATGAATGTGTGGAGAAGAAGAAGATGGAAGAAGAAGAATTTGGGGTCAATTGGAAATTTTAGAATTCTATTGGGTTATGATTTTGAGGTTTTTTTTTTTATTTAAACGTGACTTGGATATTATGGGTTGGCATGTCTTTAACGAGCAATAAACGCCAAATACAACTCTGTCCGCCGTATCAACACTAAGGTAATGGATTTTTTGAGTGAGAGTAAAGTAAAGCAGTTTGAAATTTAATGAGCAGTTTGTCACCATAGTACAGGTTGAGTAATTTTTTAAACAATTCACTCTTGACAATAAAATACCTTAGGCAAAAGATTGGACAACATTGAATCCATCCAGAATGATCATAAGCACAAATCTAACAAATGGAATTACGATATTATGTAATAGACATAATAGAATAAGATCACTCATATACTGTTGTAAATCATCTATGAAATTGATTCGTATAAGTTAAATGTTACTAGTTTCAAGAAAAGAAAAGGCTTTGGTAATTATGTCAACATTTTCAATCATCTATGAAATTGAATCTTTCTTTTTTTATGCTTTAATCAATTATTTATATAACTCATATCGTAACCATCCAAACCCGTTGTTGCTCACCTGTGTCTAGACAGGTTCAATTCTTGTACCATTGTTCACTCGAAACTTATCAAAGTTCTATAGCTTTTGACAATTTTGAACCAAGAGAATCGGTCTTTAAGGATTTCCATTTCCTGTCATGATAAAAAAATTAAGAAAGTAAACTCATAATTATTTAGACGGATCCCATAGTTTTTTGGGTATCTTAATCACTATTAATGGCATCTCTATTATTTTCTTCTGTTTCAAAATTTTTTTGTGTTTTCCTCTGTGGTAGTTGGGTTGAATACCTTAAAACTTGTTAGAGTATTTTAGCCAACGTGACAGCACAACCAACCAACAGAAAGCATCTTGTGTCCATTGTATAAGCTGGTGTATGTGCTGGTGTATATCCTGATTTTCAGGAAATGCATGTGAGACCGTTAGCCACCTGGAATTATTTGTTTTGGAAGTCTAGAATGTTATTTGTATGTAATTGCTTATATAGTATCACTGTATATATATATGCTGGATGTAAGGTAAAGCAAAACATGGAAAAGTTTCATTTAATATCAATTCAATCTTTTACTTGGTATCAGAGCCAATATGGCTAACATCGGTTCAGGTAGTCATCCAGCTCCAATTGATTCAAGCACAGCATCATTCACCCAAGTTGCTGCAAATCAGAGTTCACCATTTGGAATGAACCTTACTCAGACTCCATCAGTTAAACT